AGGCTGGATGAAGGGGAGGGGGGCAGGAAGGGGGAGAACAAGGGAATCTGTGGCTGTTATGTAGAACTGAATAGTATTGTAAAATAAAATAAAATAAAATAATAAAAAAGAAAAGAAAACAAAACAAAACAAACAAACAAAAAAAACCAAAGAACTTTCTTTTAAATTTCTATCCTATAATCTGGGTAAGGTGCATATGGTGTCTATAGCATAAGACCATGTTAAGAGCAGTTTCATTTTAGTATTGTACTTCCCTGTATGGCCTGAGTATCTTATCTTGTTCACTCAGTTCAGAGGCCTCCTGATCGACACTGTATTCTGCTGTGACTCATCACACTCAGAACCTTCATGGGACAATTCCATTACTTATGAATCACTTCAGAAGCACTTGCTCTCAGCTGTAATTGTCTAGTAAGCCTCTCTGAAACTTCCTTCCCACAACTGGCAAAGGAGGGCTGGATTCCTCATATTAAAACATATCCTTTCCCCCACCCTTAAAAGGCACTCCAATTGGCATAGCATATACTGATATTTTTAAGCACCTAGAAAAATATGTATCTAAACTATGTAAAGGCAATGAGCCAGGGCATGTCTGTGTCTTTTTTATTCGTTCACAGCTCACTTGCTGCTTGTAGAAGATGCTATGCTGTAGGTTTCTCTACGAACACCACACCTCCCCCTTTGTGTTTGAACTACTCTCTCCTGTGGGGGAATGTTCTTTTTCCTCTCTATGGATTCTGTGAAGGAGGGTCAGTGCAGGCCCTCTAAGATCTGGCTGAGCTGAGCCACTAGGTCCCACTGGCTGAGCAAAATCACTCCCGTGGGATTTATTCTCTAGAGAGAAATAAGTTCTCTTCCCCCAGGCTCTGCTAAAGTGAGATGAGGTGAGCCTGGGTAATTGCACACTCTTCTTTGTTACCAGTAGGTCTGCTCCGTTTTTGTCTGTGTGACAGGAAGAATGATTTATACAGGCTCATGGTAATATTCTTAGAGTGTCAAGGAGTCTATCTCCATGAGAGGAATATTCTAGAATAACTTTACTTGGGAGAAAGATAGTTTCTACAAAGTAGAGAATTTCTGTTTCTGAGGTTTTCAGAGTTATAATTTTCCCATTTCCAGGCATTGCCATATCTTGTTGCAGCAGAATAAGTTTTAGAAACTAAAACTAAAGTTCCTGGCATATTTCTCTTCCCACAGAGCAGCAATTGTTCTGTAGTTAAGATAAAACCACAAACATTTAGCAGTTTCTTCCTTTTACACTTTTATTTGTAATGATATTCTAAATGCATATATATAATTTAATTATATATATATAATTTAATTATATATATATGTATATATATATATGTATATATATAATTTCTACATGAATCCTATAAAATATCCCCTGTAAAAGATATGTTTTTCCTAATGCCTGCTGACTTGTGCTGGTAGCATGGGCCTGTGTTGCACACCTCTGAAGTGAAGAGTGATGAAGCAAGGATCTCTCTGAATTGTTTAGTTGTGTCCTCTCTCTGTTGCCTGTTCCATGACAACATGGGTAACTACTCTGATTCTCAGATTCATGCTTCTCCATTCTTATGAATTAGTTTCTACCTTTCCAACCATCATGTACTCAATAAACTCTTCCTGACAGAGAGTGGGAAGGACAAATTGGAGTTAAGGATCATATTAATGTCTCCTCCTATCCAGCCGAACCACAGACTAAGAAAAAAATGATCAACACTTATTGCTCAACTTAATTGTGCTCCACCTCTCTTAGTCCTTAAGAGAATGTGCCATGAGTGGCACAGCTTGGGCCTGGGAATCCTGACTAGGGACAACAAGGGAAAGAAGAAAAGTCAGACATATGGACACATGTACAGAAAGACTGATGTCAGGGCGGGATGTGTTCACTCTGTTGAAGTGGCATCTCACTCACCTAGTGCTTCCTCTGTTCCCTACAAGGATGTATTTATTGATAAAAGGTATAAGTTTACCCCAAAGCATTTTTTTTATTAAAAGTGAAGCAAACCTTTTGGCTTATGTGATTTCATCTTATCACTTTCCTAGCCATTCATTACCTCTCTGCTTCCACAAGGGTAGATTTGCTTTTGCAGTACAACTACTCTTGGACATAAACCCTGAGCTGGTACCTCACTTTTTGGAATTGTGACAACTCTGCAGTAATTGTCCACTTGGAGACAAATGGATACTGAAAGTTATAAAAGGATTTTTAAATCTTGGATCATGTCAGCAGATTTCAAATTTCTGTAGGAATGTTGGAGTCCAAATCACAAATGCTCTGACATGTCACATGATCTAGACTAAGAGGTTATAAGATTTTCTCTTAATGGTAAAGATTCCTTAGAGTAAATGTCTGATATCAATTAGGTTTACTAATGCAAGAATAGCTTACATTTCAGCAACTAATTCAACTACCAATAAGTTTAAGTAGCAGGTTGTATGTATAAATGTATGTATTTACTTATTGTTTTTTCGAGACAGGGTTTCTCTGTGTAGCTTTTGGAGCCTATCCTGGAACTTGCTCTGTAGACCATGCTGGCCTTGAACTCACAGAGATCTGCCTGCCTCTGGCTCCCCAGTATAGGGATTAAACGTGCACAACCACCACACCCGCCTAAGTAGAAGGTTTTAATAAAGAGATTAAAATATTACAATGTCTAAAATGTTTATGAGTCATATACCAGAGACCACAGTACAGGTCTTTATTAATATTTACTTACATAAGTTCAAAAGAGACAGGTTCAGAAACAAAGAGACCAAGTATAGGTAAAGAAAAGGTCAAGTCTTCACTGTAAGAATGATACGAAGGAAGAAATACTAAATATTTGAACTGTATTGCTATTTTTTAATAAAAAATAGAAATTATACTTATTTATAGGGCACATGTTATATTTTGACACCTCTATACTGTGTAATGATCAGATCATGTTTATTGGCATTGCTATCACCTTAGTCTATTTTTATTCTTTGCATAGGTGACATTCAGAACCTTGTCTGTGGGCTCTTTTGAGGTGTTGCATCAGTTGTGCCAATTATACTTCTTCTCCATCAGAAGTTTTCATCCTATGCACCTTAACTTCATATTGATATGCACACTGTCTCTACACTCTTCTCCTCTACTTTTTGCCCATACTCTGATTACTACGCATATTTTCAAAGAAGTAACAAATCTTGTCTTTGTAACCCAAACAATAAAATGAGACTATTGCTACTAAAAGCTGAACTGTGGTGTATATTTTAAAAGTATTTACATCTTATTAAAATATCAGGCCATATAAAGTCATTGATATGACTTGTAGTATAAATGAATGACAAGGGAACCCCCAAGGCTATATCTTGTTTTCAGTAGCAAAAAGGAACTTCAGATACTAATATCAGTTGTTCTCACCAACACTATTAATTACTCTCAGGAAAACCACTTCAGGACTATAATTATCATTATGCTCATATACATTGAGTTCAGAATGTGTAATTATTTTTAGCACTCCCTAGACAAAGCATTAAGAGTTGCATATGGTGATTTATTGAGAATACAAAATGCACTAAAACATGGGCAAATGCAGTGAGTATTTTTAGCTTTATATAAGATGTTTGTAATGGTAGAAAAAGACAATAGTTTTAAAACTCTCTATTTTTTCTGAAGTAAAATTGTCTCTGTGGCTTAAATATGTGTTACTTAGGCAAATCAGTTTTAGTGTAGGCATCCCAAGAAAGAAAAGTATAGTCCATTAACCACAATGATAAATTTCTCACTTATAAGATAATTTGAAAACTTCATAGACCATTAAAATATGAGAGAATCTTATATGCTATGACTTTTGAAGTTTTTTGACATATTCTTCATGAAGAGAAATATGTAACATTTTTCTCCAGTGAGTTCAAAACCATTCCTTCTTTGGAAGTCTATGTCAAGCTTTACACTTGTCTCTTAATGAACATTGTAAGAGAGACCTTTTATACCACCTTTGTCTATTTAATCAGCCTCTGCAGGAGGCACTAGTTTGCTTTGTTTGTTCAAGCCCTCACTCTGAATTCCATTTCCAATTTGGGGGCTTTGATGGTCTTCATGATGGAAATGGGCATCTGATTCTCTGTGTCAGGTGCTGAGATATTTTCATCCCAAAGTGAAATCCCCATTTTTTCTTAAAGATTAAGTAAAACTCCATTGTGTGCATATACCACATTTTTGTCCATTCCTCTGTTAAGGGACAGTTGGGCTGATTCCTTCACTTGTATATTGTGAATATTGTTCTGTTAATATGGATGTGTGGGTTTCTCTGCAGTATGTTCTTTGGGTTTATAATAAAAAACATAGAGTTGGGTCATCTTGTATTTCTATTTCCACATTTTTGAAAAGCCTCCACAGTGTCAGTACACTTTAAAGTAGCCACTAGCAGAATGGAAGGGTTCCTGTTTCTCTACATCTTTGTTGTTTGTTTCCTTAAAGGCAGCCATTCTGACTGGGTTGAGGTAAATGTACTTTCAATTTAAGTTCCCTTGATGGCTAACAATGTTGAGAATCATATTTGTTGTAAATTAATGAAACTATAGATCACATTAAATTAAATAAGTCAAAGGCTCAAAGACAAATATTACATATTTTCCCTTGTTCATGGATTTTGGAATCCTTTGTAGATTGATTAAAAAATATTTTTGTTCCCATAGAAGATGAGTAAACTGGTATGAAATCTGCCAGGGTTAGGTATGTCAACATCCTTTCATGGAGAAGAGAGGTCTTCCCCCAGGAACTTATTTTCAGATAAAGTTGGTTGTAGTGGGTAGCTGTTCCAGCTTTGACCTGGAAGTACTACCCGCAGTGAGGCTGCCGGTAACTGTCATGCCTACCTATGACCTGCCCCTGAGGTGGGGCTGAGACGGGAGCCCTTAAGACCCAAGATCTTGATGTGCAGGCTCTCTTGGTTCCTGGTGATCCTAGATGCTAGATAGTAGATCGAGCAAAGTTCTCTAGAGAACACTGATGGACTGCACTTCACCTCTCCCGATCCTGTAACCAATCCCTTTACTTGTTGTAAGTTACCCCAAGATACACCTCCCTTTTAACTACATTTAGTTGCGTTAATAATTTTCCCCAATAGTAGGCAGAGAAGAGAGGTTCCTGAGGCCCATCCCCTCCTAAATATCTACAGGTATTTAACAGTAGTTGGGGGAGATAGAGATTTTCTTCAGTGCTAAAGGAAATGTTAAGGAGCCCTTGTTCCTATAAACAACTTCTCACCCAGGGTCCTATAAGCAGTCCTAGTGAAACTCAGTGGTCATGTAAAAAACAAAGCACAACAGATAGACAAGGAAGTAGAAGGGGACTATGTGGGAAAGGCAAGAGAATCAGGGGGAGTAGAAGGGAAGCACTAAAGGGCAATGAGAGGTAAAGATGATAAACATACACATTTATATTTATGAAAATGCTACCATGATAAGAAGGAAGCAGGAACACTGGGAAAAGAATAAGACTAATGAGGGAAAGTAAGAGAGTTTTTACGGAAGGAATGAGACAAGAAAGAATATGGGCAGAGTGCGTGCATGTTGAAAAGACATTGATTTAGAGAACCCAACACTGTTCACCCTTGACAACAAACTCCCAGGTTATTAGTGTGTTGAATTTGATGGGCTAGTGAGAAAAGATAATGATTAAGTACTAGTGTTCGAAAGACAGACACTTCTCATTTGTTTTTAGTGTATAAAAACGTGTGTAATCTATGATTTATCTATAAATAGAAAAGAAGTACTCATTTGAATGAAAAGGGTAAGAGCTTCATGGTCAAGTGAGGCTTCAAGCTTCAATGAGCATAGAAAACTTTCAGTCTTTCTTGTTATTTACACATACATATAAATTGGGACCAACTTGGTACAACCTTGAGAAGGTTTATGGTACTTTGCTCTAAGACAGCTGTGGTTACAAGGTCACTTCCAGAAGTTGAGTTAGAAAGGATTCCCTATGGAAAGGTATGGGTAGACCAGTAATGACTTAAATAGTAATAGCATTTTTTTACTTTCTTATTGTGGGGGTTTAGAAGAAAATGGCCCCTAAAGGGAATGCCACTAATGGAAGATGTGGCCGTGTTGGAGTAGGTGTGGTCTTATTGGAGGAGGTGTGTCACTGTGGAGGTAGGCTTTGAGGTCTCATGCCCAGTGAGTCAGTCTAATTCCTGTTGCCTGCACATCAATGTGTAACAACTACCTCTCCAGCATCATGTCTGCCTCCATGCCACCATGTCCCACTGTGATGACAATAGACAACTGAACCTCTGAACTGGAAGTGAGCCACCACAATTAAATATTTTCTTTGTAAGAGTTGTTGTGGTCATGGTATCACTTCACAGCAATAGAAACTCTAACTAAGACATTTATTTTTGTGTGTGTGTGTTTGTGTGTGTGTGGTATAAGTGTGTGCCATGGTGTGTTTGTGGTGGTCAGAGGACAGCTTGCAGAAGTGGCTGCTCTTCTTCCACCATGTGGGTCACAAGAATGAAAGCAAGCATGGCGGCAGCTTTTACCCTATTGAGCCATCTTGCTGATTCCTGTCATGACTTTTCATCTTCTCTGGGTTTTCCCATTTGCTTCCTTTCCAGTAATAAAATTCCAAAGTCAAATCTAAACAGTTACTCCCGTAACTGAGAATGCTGCAATAGTTTACCCTTAAGTGGAAAAATTCAAGTTTTGTACTTTCTCAGCGATTTATACAATAAGGTTTCCGTAATCAGCTTATCATAAGAAAAAATAATTTCCATTAAAATAAGATGCAATTGGTGTAATATTTATAAAGAGAGTTGGTCTGACTTTTAAATAAGATATTCCTGTGCATGAGTCATTAGAATTTTTAGACAGAATGTCTTGACATGTTTCAGTTGAAGAGCTGTCTTTTGAGTCAGGCCATGTATGCATGAGACTCTTCTATGAGTTAACCTAAATAAGTTGAGAAATTATTCATACTCAAAGAAAGTGAAGGACCAAATGATGGAGAAGAATCAGAAATAGGAGTTTCAGGGGTGCCCCTAGGCTTTTTTGAATGCTTATTTTAAATTTACCAATGGAGTAAAATGGTTAATCAGTGATGTTTCCTCAGGCTTTGGGAACACTTGAGCACTTGATGCTGACTGTAATATCCCTGGGAACTACAGAGGAATACCATATCCAGATCAGGGGTACATATTACCTGAGCCCTGGTGCCTCATTCCCCATGTAAAACCTGGGCAATGCAAATCTAGTTTACTGATGAACAGATGAGATACAGCTCCACTAGGGAGTAAAAGTTAAATAGCTGTGGGTCCTGGGGAGCACCATGACTGGTAATTCATAGATGCAAGGCGCAGTTGTATACCCTTACAGGAGCCATACCTGTGCTGGAGTCTGGAGTAATATGTACAAAATCCGGGCTTGTTTCAGCCCAACAGATGCATTTTAGAGTGTAACCACAGAGCTTCCACACTGTTGTGGACCTCTGTTCAGTGTGGCTTGCACTAGCTTTTTCCTAACATTAAACAATTAGTATGGGGAAAGCTTGTGCAGTCTTATGACTGACTGCTTCACACTGACCTGTGAGTGTTGTCATGAAAACAGACAAATGCATTTCCTAAGATATTTTTCAGCTTTGTAAACAAATATGGTTGCTTTGTTTTGTGGTATTGAGACAAGGTCTCACTCTGTAGCCAAGGCTGGCTTACAATGGGAAATGCTTCCATGATCTGAATTTTCAAGGTCAGATTTTTTTCTGTGTATAAAAAATAAAAAACAGTTTTCTTAATTTTAAAATCTTTCATTTTAGTTCATTTATATGGAAATGGTATTTTTAGCAAGTAATCAGAACAAGTAAAATTTTTAAAAGATATCCAACTTTGAAACTTTTGATCATACTTGGCAGAGGCTTTTTATTTTTGAGTAAGAAAAAACACACAAACATCTCTAAATTGAAGTTTAATTCAAATATTTTGTGTATAAATTACTATTGCCAATGAAAAGTACCAAATTGGGTATGCAAATGAGAATTTTTAGTTGTAGGTTTCACAAACATCCCTTTGATAATGTAGAACTTAGAGTCAGCAAAGTGTAGCATACAAATCATAATACTATTAAGTAAATTCTGTAGTATCAAACAGTTTTAATTTTGACACATAGAAAATACCCATTGTGGTTTCTTCAGTTGTTCTATGGGGCTCAGTTGATATCTAGTTGTCACAGTTTTTATCTCTTGCTATTTTTGCACAAACAGTAGTCAGAAAACAGGAAAAACATTTCTTTAAAAGAATTAAAACTGCCCACCATAAAAACATTATTATTTTATCTGTGAGGGTATTCCTGATAAAAGTTTAAATACTCCAAGGTAAATTACACAAGGTGGTCTCTAAGCTGTGCAGAGATACTCAGAGTTATGGGTTGCCTTAGTTTCTTTTCTCTTATTTTCTTCTTTTTATTTTATATTTTTAAATCTCTTCATTTTCTTCATCACAGGTATGTAGATAATTTATTTCTCATCCTGCAGTGGGAAGTTTATAAATCACTTGGACCTGAGGTGGTTATGGGGAACATGAAAACTCAGGTAGAGGGGAGCAATTATTAACAAGGGTGAGGACATAAAACATCTGGGATCCAAACCTTTCTCTAATTTAAGTTCTTGACATTCTAGTGAAGATCCTTTGGAAACCAGACTCCCTTCTTGACCTCATTCTCTGGCTTTGGCCTTTCTCAAGTTCTCTGTCCCAGCAGTTTAGTGGAGAAGAGAGTTTTCAGTATGGAGGTGAGGACTGTCTAGAAGATGCCTTGGGTGCCAGGCTGAACTTAGTGGGTGGAGGAAAGAATTGTTCAATTGTCCCAACAGCTGATTATTTGGTGTGTTAGTCATTGTGCAACGAGAGCCTGGGCTGCTATGATGCTGAATGTGAGATCTTCCTGATTAAAGGTACTGAAATATGCTTTAGAGCAGAATATTATGACACACTGAAGACTGAGCAGTTCCTCTCTAGAACAAACAGAAAACAATGAATATATTTGCTTCTGTGGTTTTTTCATTTATCATAGGGTAGAAATCTATAACTATGAATTTTGCATTGTTTAAATACATATTTCATTTCCCAATATGTTCATCATCTTCAGTAGAGAAATAAAATTTAAGAAAATCAAAGTGAATGTCAAAGTAAATATTGTCATCTGAATTTCAAGAAACAATGATGATTGTGTAATTTTTCCATAATGTTTATCATTACTTTCATCAATGGGGTTGTGGTGATTTTTCCAATCACTTAAAAATCAGAAGACATAGATATACTAAACAAGCATTAGTGTCCACTCTACTGTTAGGATTCATCTTAAGAGAACTGAACATAAAGATAAATGTGTGTCACATGGTGTTGCAGAAGGTGAATTTGCACAGTAATCCTTGAGCTGTCACTCAATTTATACAGTTGTCCTATATTCATTTATTCCCTTTTGTTTCCAATTTTAAGTGTACATGTATAGTTTTTATTGTGTTTGGTTTCATTACCAGAGAAGTAGATCCACAAATATGTAAAAGATGGTGGCTTTTTGGCAACGTCACAAGAATAAGCCATCAATCAAAAAGGAAAATAAAATCAAATTTAAAAGTTAGCTAATTCTAGCACAGTTTCAAAAATTTCTCTCAAGGCTTGTAAACAAATACATCTGAAACTCCAGTCTGCCGAATATGAAATATTTGACAATCTTATAATTGCTATTGTTCATCTCTGTTTACATTGAACAGGAACACTGAAAGTTCGAGGCTTTTTTGGCTAGAGTGGGTTCAAGATTAGCCTGGGTAGCTTAGCAAGACACTGTCTCAAAATCAAAACTAAAGAACTGGCTTAATAGATAGCTCAGCAGTGGAGTGCCTGCGGAGCACCCATGATGTCCTGGGTTCGGTACCGAGCAAGAGAGGCTGGGGAAAGACAGGCTTTCCAAACACATTGTTCAAAACATTATCCAAATACACTGCAGTTGTCTACTAGAGAAACTAGCGCTGGAAGCTGAGAAAAGTCTAAAACAGTTTTCACAGCTACAGAAAAGGAGCTCTGAAAAACACTGCATCAGAGAACGGCCTGCTCTCCCCATCTCCCAACCACAGTGTCTCAGATGTAAAAACAGAATGTTAATTAAAAAGATGTTACTTGATAATGATATTAGAAATTTTGATAAATGTGTCCGGTTAGGAATTATTCCAACTTGCTTAAAATCTATTGGAAAGCATTAATCAAGACAGTCAATAGGGAGAACGCAAAAAGTTTTTGACTTTTGAACATTCTTAGCAAGCTGTAATTATTGAACAGAAACTTTATGAGCAGGAAAACTTGATTTATAAAGTCAAGGGGAAAAGTCAACCAATAAATAATGAGCACATAGAAAACAGATGGGGGTGATTTTCAAATATTAGAAATTTGTTTCTTACAGTTGTGGAAGTTGGCAATGCCTAGATTTCAGCGATAGCTTTGCAGGCAGCTTTCTTGCTGGGTCATCCCTTATTAGATGACAAGTAATAAGGAGGGAGTTGTTTATCTTTTTATAAGAATGCCTCCCAGCATCACATCATCAGTCCATTTAGAACACGCACGGACTCCCCAGCATCAAGTTGCCTTTAGCTATCTTCTCTCATAATACTATTATGATGGTAATTAAGCTGCACCGTAAGTTTGGGAAAGGACAAGCTGTCACAGCACCGAGGTCCTATCTAAATGGAATCAGGAAAATCTGTGCTTTTCTAGTAAGTAACTAAATTTGGTTTTGCTTCATAAGCTGAATGAATATTTTAGAAAATTTATTAAATATATTTGTTGAAAAGAAATACTTAGAGCAGAGGAAAAACCTATAAAAAATACTTGGACTGATATATTTACATGTTTTTAAATAAAAATACATTTAAAAAATATTTTTATTTAGTCAAGTTTTACAGAACTTACCAAGTACATTGTTACTTACAGAAATATATATTTTTTCACATTAAAAATATGGAATACCTGGTCAGGTGGTGGTGGCACATTCCTTTAATCCCAGCAGTCAGAAGGCAGAGGCAGGTGGCTCTCTGTGAGTTCAAGGCCAGCCTGGTCTATGTAGTAAGTTCCAGAACAGTCAGGATGGTTACACAGAGAAACGCTGTCTCAAAAAACAAAAATAAAAACAAAAACAAAAATGACATACCAATATGTGTGGTGACACACAACTTTAATTTTAGTGCTTGAGAGGCAGAAGGAGAGAGATCTCTGTGAGTTCAAGAACAGCCTGGTCTACATAGAGAGTTCCAGGTCATTGAGAGCTACATAATCAGACCCTGGGGAACTATGTGTTCTTATATGTTCACAAAACAACAACATGAACAAAATGACAAACCAAGAAGAGTCAATTGAGAATATCAACATTTATAAGATTAATCGCATAATTCAACTCTGACCAGAATTGTGGGTAAATGTGCTAAAATATTAAAATAATAAGATCTTGTTTAAAACTGCATTCTGCTGCAATGTGCATGGAACATGATATTGGAGATGTGTGAGATTAGGAATCTGGTTAAAGAATATGGATGGACGAAAAGTTATCACTGTCCTCTTAATTTCCTGCAATCAATGTGTACACACTACCTTTTTGTATGCATATAGACACACACAGACTTGTGGTGTTAAGATTTTTTATGTCTAAGCCATTTTTATTTCTTTTGCAAATAAAGCCATTGCTTTTCTGAGTGAAACTCCTGTTTCCTAAAAGAACTGTTAGCCTTTTAACAATAACATTTTAGGTATACCAAGAAAAAAAAATCGGTATGCATGTGGTATATGTGTGTACATTCTAAATATATGTTTTATAATTTATTTTGTGCCTCTTTACCTTTAAAATATTCTACATTGAACATTATTATAGTTAGCTGTAGCCTGTTTGAAAGAGGTACAGCCTAGATTGCTGTGATGCTTTTCTTACAAAACATATTAAGTTTCTTGTGATTATCGTGACCTTCTTACCATCACAATTTTACCATCAAGCATCTATTTTGCCAAATTCATTTATTTTTATTGAACTACATGTGCAGGAATTATCATTTTTTTGGTCTGATTTGTCCATATCACCTCCAGCCTTTGAACCCTGAATACATTTCTCCAATTAAAACATGGGTAATGGCAATAAAAGCTTCAGGTTACAAAGCAATAATTCTCTATTTACTTCTCTTTTTAAAAATATTCTTCCTTCTGCGAGGCCTCTGACCTCAGTGGCTGATGGCCACGTTCTACTCTGCTGTCTATCTGGGTTCCTGAGGGGCCCGTCAGAAGGATTTGGCTTGAATATCGGACTTGGCTAATGTGCTCCAGGGTCTGCATATTTTTTTTCTTTAAATCATAGCCATATGGTAAATTTTCTATTTTGTTACGGTTCTCTTTTACTGATGGACATGCAGTGGGTGTTTCTTGGAAAAGGCCAATTTTTATTAAAATATTTCTGGAAGAAAAAAAAAATTCTTCAGCCGGGTGGTGGCGGCGGCGGCGGCGGCGGCGGCGGCGGCGCATGCCTTTAATCCCAGCACTCGTGAGGCAGAGGCAGGTGGATCTCTGTGAGTTCCAGGCCAGCCTCGGCTACCAAGTGAGTTCCAGGAAAGGCGCAAAGCTACACAGAGGAACCTAGTTTTGAAAAACCAAAAAAAAAAAGAAAGAAAAAAAAATTCTTGTGGCTCAGAATTAATCGAGGGGTGGTCATTTCCCCTTAGTATGTAAAGTAAAGTATGTAAGACCACAGCAGTGTGTGGTTCCTCAGAGGAAGCTGGACTGTTAAAGGAGATGTCACTGGGATTAAATGAAATGCCATGTATTTCAGGTTTGGGTCTGGAATAGTTATCTTAGATTTTCCTTTGCAACCACTTAATCTTCTCATGCCCTGTTAGGTCAAAGCTTTGCTGAACAAGGCAAGAAATGACATGGGAATGGTTTGCTTTAGGCAAATAACTATAAATAATATGTGTCCTCAAAGAGAAGAGGGAGGCTTTTCCTGTGTTCACTAACCTGCTGTAAAACACTACAGGTGATACAACTACCTGGGAACCCCAAATAATGCACAAGATCTGTCACCAGTTTCCACAAACAAGGATAGCAGCCAACATACTACTCATAGATTGCACTCACGATCTGATTGGTGAAGGGTGTTTTCCCCCATAATACCTTTTATACAACTGAAAGTAGGGCAAACATGGCACATTGCAGAAGGGAAATAAGCTGACAGGTGACGGCAAATACAATATTGAATATTTAGTAACCTGGCACTGAGAGGATAAGCACAAAAATCACGAAACTCAGATGAAATAACTTAAAAGTTTTCCATTGATTGTTTAATATTAAGAAAAAAAACAGCCCAACATATCTGAAAAATCTGCAGGCTTATCCCTCAGGCTTGGACTATTTTGTCTATTGATGTGCTAAAGGTGAACATGAATCACTAAGAAAAGGTGAAATTGTTTATTATTCACAATATCTTCACTGTATATGGGAGGGAGTATGTGAAAGTCATGGTAGAGATATGCACATGAAAGTGGCATCCAGAGTAGGTCAGTCCCAGCTGTCTCTCGGCCATTGCCAGCAGTGACCTACTCTGGTGATGGGATGGTCAAACACCCTAATAGTTGTGCCAGAAACCCCATCCAAAGGCCTGAGGAATCTGGATGCAGACATCAACAGCTAGGCCCCCCGGGTGGAGCACTGGGCGTCCAATTAGCGAGAAAGAGGAGGGTTTATATGAGCGAGAATTGTTGAAACCAAGGTTGGATAAAGCATAGGGACAAATAGCCAAACGAATGGAAACACATGAACTATGAACCAAAGGCTGAGGGGCCCACAACTGGATCAGGTCCTATGAATAGGTGAGACAGTTGATTGGCTTGATCTGTTTGGGAGGCATCTAGGCAGTGGTACCAGGTCCTGGGCTCCCTGCATGAGTTAGCTGTTTGAAACCTGGGACTTATACAGGGACGCTTGGCTCAATCTGGGAGGAGGGGACTGGACCTGCCTGGACTGAGTCTATCAGGTCGATTCTCAGTCCTCGGGGGTGGCCTTGATCTGGAGGTGGTGGGAATGGGGGGTTGGGCTGGGGGGAAGGGGAGGGGGCAGGAAGGGGGAGAACAAGGCAATCTGTGGCTGTTATGTAGAACTGAATAGTATTGTAAAATAAAATAAAAAAAAAAAAGAAAGAAAGTGGCATCTATCTTCCAGCTGGAACAAACTAATGCATTTTGAAACCTTCATAATGGCTTGGTACCAAATACATGGGGCGCTATTAAAATGTGGTGTCAGAAAACATTCATTGTAAACAAGAAGCTTACTGTTGAGGAAACAGATAAAAGATGGCAGCCAACTTTTGTTTTAAACACACACACACACACACACACACACACACACACACACACACACACACCCTTCAAAAGAAAGGATTCAGACCATTGATTTTACAAGTATCTGTTAAATACATAATCATTTGTTCAACACATTTTCATATATTTTCTTATTTGCAAGTACCTCAACCTGCCACGTGCTAGTATTATAGATGTGTACCACCAAGTCTAGCTTTGAGATTGACTTTAAATATTAGCTGGTTACATCTAGATATAAAAATTTTCATTTGTTTCCTGATGTTGGATAGCTTGGTCAGGACTGTTGTATTTAAAAATTGAAATAAAGTTATGATCCATTTGAAAGATAGGGGCACTTGGCAAGGATGTCAGACAGTTTTTTTTTTTAAAGAGACCTCAAGACTAGAGTAATGTTGTGATGTGATATGTTTGGAAAGAACCTAGAAGAGAGACAGCTGAGGTGTGATATTAGCATTGGTTCCTAGACTCTGACACCACTGCTGACCAACCTTAGTGTTCAGAATGATTTGTCAAGTGTCTTTCTTCAGCTGCCTTGAATCTGGCAAAAAGCCTTCATTTTTATCAGACTGACACCCTCCCCCACCCCTGAACTGTCAAGTACCAGAAACTAGAATAATTTCAATCTGTTCTCTGAGTGTCTCAACAAAAGAGACATAAAGATTCGCTGTTGAAAAATACCTCATTTGTGAGCTGCTTTTTACATGTCCTGGCAGGTGTGTTAGTGATGAGAGCATCATCTTTGCTTTTCCAAGTTTATCAGACAAGTGTTGGTGAGTGGCTGAAACAAAAATCGTTTTGATTTTTTAATGTCATATTTGCTTTTGATGCTTAAACTTCCTATCAATTAATGGGCTAAAATTGAGTATAGCCCTTAGGGGAAGGATATGAAAATATGACAGGTATTCATTTGTAAAAGTTAAGTGGTAGAAAATGAAATTGCACTATTTAATAAATTTTAATTTAGACAATGAGAAAGGAAAGAGATCTTTCATATGTTTAATTCATAGTTTTCCTGAACAGTCTCAAGTCATTAAATATGCAAACTGTCCCCCTTTGCAAGGACTTTAAAGTGATAAAATCAAACAGTTTGAAAAATAGTAAAGGACAATCACAAATGGCAAATATATTGAAGTCATTCTCTTTGACTTTTCCCCTTGTCTGTTCTCATTTCCAAGTCTTAACTTCGTCACTGTCCTCAGGTTGGTGTCTTTGTAAATGGCATGCCGCTCCCATTACAAACCCTACAGGTTTTGAGCATAGGTTAACTACAACGTGTGTTTCACCTGGTGCAGATTTTTAATTTGCCTACAAATGGATAACTAAGCTGCTCAATTTAATTTATACCTATGCATTTCTCTTTCAACTTACACTGAAAATTTGTTGCCATGAGCCTGAAGATTTTTGTACGGTATACAGTGACCCATCATGCTATTCTGCTCTATAATTAATGAAGCCAGCCCTACATATTTTTAATCTTGAGCCCACAGAACTATCCAGATGAGTGAAGATGCCCTGTTTGTATGTCAACATTTCTCCACTTTTCAGTTTTGCCTTAACCTTTGGTTGATAGTCCTGGTCCTGGACTCCAGACCTTTCTGGTAATATTTGTTATCATGGCTAGATACCTGTCTCACTCTTTATTGTTTTGTTTTGTCAAATGTAATTTCATATATATATATATATATATATATATATATTCAATATATATATTCAATATATATATTCAATATATATATTCAATTTTCATTGATATTATGGGGCATACATTTTCTTTATTGAGAGTCGAGTAAGAGCAGAGTGAGGGCAGTTGGGGGAATGCTTTCAGGCATGTCCAGCCTGTGGCCTTGGTGCTGCAGGCATCCCAGGATAGCTGTTGAATGGGGCTTAAAGATTGTAGATGAAAACATCATGTTGAAATGTCAAAAGGTTAAACACACACTATTCTAGGTAGGTTAGCTGGCAACACAACCTAGAATTACCTAGGAAGAGTCTAAATAAGAAATTTCCTAGATCAAATTGGCCTGTGGTTGTGTCCGAGAGGGATAGTCTTGACTGTTAATGGAGGTGGGAAGACCTCCCTGAATGTGGGCAGAACCATTTCATGAGCTGTGCCCTATTCTGTGTAAGAGTGAAGAGGCTTCAGGAAAGCCGTCATTCATTTCTTTCTGCTTTTGACTGTGATTGACATTGGAGTTCCTGCCTTAACTTGTACAAATTGTAATTGTAAATTGAATAAACCCTTTCTTCTACAAGTTGTTTCTTGTTAAGATATATTATCACAGATACAGAAATGAAATGAAGATATTATCTTAGGGATTTCTATTGCTAGGAAGAGATACCATGACCATTGCAACTCTTATAAAGGAAACATTTAATTGAGTTGCTTGCTTACAGTTTCAGAGGTTCAATCCATTATCATTGTGTTAGGTAGCATGGTGGCATGCAGGAAGACTTGGTGCTGGAGCTTAGAGTGCTATGTCTTGTAGGCAACAGGAAGTTGACTGACTGTCACACTGAGGGAAGTTTGGGCAAAAAAGACCTCACACAGTGGCACACTTCCTTCAACTAGGCCCCACCTCTTAATAGGGCCATTCCTTTTGGGGGGGCATTTTATTTCAAACCACCACAGATACCCCTGTAAAATAGTGTGACAGTTATTCACTTCAGACTTTCCATTATCCTAAGTGACTGTCTATTCTTTACCCAATACTGTCAACAAAATTCCTGCTATTCTCATGTTTGAGGGGTTTCCTGGGACCTAGGACTTTGGAAATTGCTAAAAGTAGAATAGCCTTGGCAAGATATTGGCTCTCATTAAAGAGCTTGTTTTGATTTCAGCTCCTGTGAACAAAGTTCTAAAACCCCTTTATGTGTGGGAAAGTCACTTTCAGTGACAAACCTTGACACATTGATTGCATGCCTATGTCATCTGTAACTGTGCCCCTGAGGTCTTGCATTCTGTTATTAATGTGACTGAAACAGTACAAAGTGTATGTTATGAAGTTCAAGTGACATTTCTTTTGAAATAATTATGATTGAACTACTTTCAATTAAACTGGTGAGTGTTCTAGAATGTGTAAAAGACCTATTAGGGAT